ATAACCCATGGACACAGACAGTAGGGGGTGTGAGGGCATGTGCTGAGGGGTGGGAACAGCTGGAGAGAGGTCAATGGGGGAAAAAGGAGACATATGTAATGCTTTGAACAATAAATAATTTAAATTTTTAATAATGTATCAAAGGACACCCATTGTTTTTCATGTCTTAACCACCATAAATAATGCTGCAATGAACATAGGGGTTGGTAAGTCTTTACAAATGAATGTTTTCATATCTGGGGGTTATATACATCCAGAAGAGGGGTTGCTGGGTCATATGAAACTCTATTCTTAATTTTTTTGAGAAACCTTCATACTGTTTTCTATAGTGGTTTTCCAGTTTACATTCCTATCAGCAGTGAATAAGGGTTCCTTTTTCTCCACAACCTCTCCAACACTTGTCATTACTTGTCTTGTTGATAATAGGCATTCTAACAGGTGTGAAGTGATATCTCATTGTAGTTTTGATATGCATTTCTCCAGTAATTAGAGAATTTGAGTATCTTTTCATATATCTTCTTGAGAGAAGTGTTTGTTCAGGTCCTCTGCCCATTTTTATTGCATTGTTTGTTTGCTGTTGAGTTGTATGAGTTCTTTGTATATTTTGGATATTAACCCCTTGTTGAAGCTGTTGTTTGCAAATATCATCTCCCATTCAGTTGGTTGACATTTTGTGTTGTTGTTTTCTTTTGCTGTGCAAAAGCCTTTTAGTTTGATATAATTCCATTCATTTATTTTTGCCTTCACTTCCCTTGCCTTTTTGGGGTTAAATTCATAAAATGTTCTGCACAAGATCCATAAGTTTATTATCTATGTTTTCTTTCATGCAATTTACTGTTTCAGATCTTATATCTCAGCATTTGATCTATTTTGAATTAATTTTTGTACATGAGGACAAACAACAGTCTATTTCCATTCCAATTTTCCCAGCACCATTTAATGAAGTGGCTTTCTTTTCTTCATTTTATGTTTTTGGCTCCTTTATCAAAAATTATTTGCCCATACACATTATCCTATATAATCAAAGCCTTGCCGAAACCGGTTTGGTTCAGTGGATAGAGCGTTGGCCTGCGGACTGAAAGGCCCCGGGTTCGATTCTGGTCAAGGGCATGTACCTTGGTTGCGGGCATATTCCCAGTAGGAGATGTGCAGGAGGCAGCTGATTGATGTTTCTCTCTCATCGATGTTTCTAACTCTCTATCTCTCTCCCTTCCTCTCTGTAAAAAATCAATAAAACATATATTTTTTAAAAAAGCCTAATATGCTGTGTATGGTTGTCCGTTCAACCAATCAAAGCATGATATGCTAATGATATGCTAAGGCCACTCAACCGCTCGTTATGATGTGCACTGACCACCAGGGGGCAGATGCTTCAATCGTAGGTTAGCTTGCTGCTGGGGTCCGGCAGATCAGCACTGAGCAAGATGGGCCAAACACACCCTGGAGCCTTCCTGCGGTCCCTCCCCGGCTGGCCAACCTCCCGTGTCCTTCCCCAGCTCTGACCATGCATCAGTAGGGTCCCTCGGCCTGGCCTGCACCCTCTAGCAATCCAGGACTCCTCAGGGGATGTTGGAGAGCCGATTTTGGTCTGATCCCGCAAGCCAGGCCAAGGGACCCCACTGGTGCACTGGGCCTCCAGTCATGATATAGAACAGTTCCAATGCCCCCCTCCAAATTCCCCCATTCCTGGTAGTCAACTCATCTCCACTCCCAGCTTCTAGCAAATTTGGATCTGTTTCCCTATTATTTGCTTTTTTCCAGAGTATCATAAAAGCAAAATCATCATAGAGTATGTGTTGTTTTTTTTTTCACTTAGCAACATACATTTGAGATTTATCCCTACTGCTGCATATATAATAGTCTGTTCCTTTTTATTGCCTAGCGTTATTTTTCCATTGTATTAATTGATATACTTGCATTTGATTATTCATTCACAGTTGAAAGCTATCTGAGTTGTTTCCAGTTTGTGACAATGATAAATAAAGCTATTACAAGTGTTTACATCTCATTTTTTAATGAACATACACTTTTATTGTTTTGTTAATTACTGCCCGAGGATATTTTTTTTCCATTGCTATTCAGAGAGAGTGGACAAGAAGGAAGGAGGGGAATAGGGACAGAAGAGAGAGAGAAAACAACATGATGTGAGAGACACCTATCAATTGGTTGCCTCCTGCACGTACCCCAACCAGGGCCAAGGTTGGAACCTACAACCCGAGTACATGCTCTTGACACTCTAATGACATGACCATGGCTAATGAACATACATTTATATTTATCTTGAATAAGTAACTAGAAGTAGACAACTGAATCCTATAGTAAGTGCAGATTTAACTTTGTAGAAAACTGTTATCTTGTTTTTTCAAGTAGCTGTGCCATTTTCCATTCGACCAGCAATATTTGAGAGTTCTAGTTGTTCAACATTCTTGTACCTAAGTATTGTCAGTATTTTTTAAAAAACTAGACATTCTAATAAGTGTGTAGATATACCTAATTATGGTTTTAATATCAATTTTTCCCTAGCGATTATGTTGAGTATCTTTTCATATTAGCCACCCATATATCTTCCTTGATGACATGCCTATTCAAACACATTACCCAATTTTTAATCAGGTTGTTTTCTTATTATTGACTTTGGAGAGTTTATGTGTTCTGGATGTGAGACCTTTATCAGCTATGTGTTTTGCAATTATTTTCTCCCAGTCAATTTGTCTTTTTATTTTCTTAACAGTGTTTTTCAAAGAGTTAGTCTCTACCACCCTTTTACTAAACTACAATTTTAGTCTATCCATTTTTAGTTTCTAAGCTCTCAAGTTAACAATTCGCACCAATTCCTAATGAGCAAATTATAATATTTTGGAATCTTATGGAGATAGAAGATAAACAACTTTAAAGACAGCATGCTTCTATATACGATTTATTTGAATACTATAACAACCAGGAATTCTCTTGGCTGAAAGTAGCAAAAAGTCAAACTTTAGTGGCTTAAACATATAGGACTATTTTTGTTGTTGTTGTTGCAAGTTGAGAGAAATGTAGTTACTTGCCAGGATTCATTATATTTACACTTAGAACAAGAAGTAGAGAAGAGAAAAGAACAGAACTTGTACCAAGAGAGCAAAACTTTCCCAGAAGTCTCTCCGCTACTTTCAATTGAATTCTCATTGAACAGAACTGAGTCATAGAGCCAGGCAACGCTCAGCAAAGCCGATTGGGTTAGGAGGGCCTACCTAGTGTCTTCCTCACACAGCAACTTTTATTTATTTATTTTATTTATTTAATATATTTTTATTTCAGAGAAGGGAGAGGGAGAGAGAGAGAGAGATAGAAACATCAATGATGAGAGAACTGTTAATCTGCTGCCTCCTGCATGCCCCATACTGGGGACTGAGCCTGCAACCCAGGCATGTGACCTAACCAGGAATCGAACCAGTGACCTCTTGGTTCATGGGTCAATGCTCAACCAGTGAGCCACACCAGCCAGCCAATCAATTCTTCTTACGAAGTGTGGATGAACTTCATGTCCTAGGAGATTTCTTCCCAAAAGATCAGGGCCAAATAATGTAGAAAACATTAAATAATAATAATAATTGCCACAATTATATTAATGTAAGGCTTAAACATATATTGATTAGTCAGCATAACCTTTATGCTTTCTTCAACATCATTCTGCATCCAGATTCTACCCCCATTCTTACTATCTCATCTAAAAATGAATGGTAACTTGAGCCCATAGTTGGCATGTTGCTCTGTGTTATGAGTTTTAAGGACCTCTTACTTTACTTGTCTTTGTTCTGAATCCTTTTTTGTCTATGAATTCTGAGTGTGTCAAGAACATAACATACCTACCAACATGCAAAGAAAAGATAGTTATCCTGGTTTTGTGGAATATTGATTTGGAAAACTATTTTGAAAGTGTTACATAAATTCAAGAAGTATATTTTTATCAATATTTTACAGATAGAGCTATATATAATGGTAAAATATCTTTACCAACAAATTAATTTTTATAATATATAGAAGAAAAATAAATATGCATTTCTATATTTGATAAACATGGTCAGCCAAATTTAAAACCTATGAATAAAAGTGATTGCCTTGTCTGCCCCAAACTCCATCCTTTACCCCTTAGCCCCTGCCCTCCCCCCCAAAAAAAGAAGGATTTTTGGCCCAAGGCATCAGGATAATTGATTCAGATCTATTCCACTTTGTGATAGGGAACTTTTGTATTGCAATGAAAATGTATCATATTGTCTGCAATGAAAGAATTAATATTCTTAATGTTCTTACACATTTTTTTTTATGTGAACATTTCAGGTGTATCAATATATGCATGAAACGATAACTGTTAATGGCTGTCCCGAATTCCGTGCCAGGGCCACAGCAAAGGTAAGGCTTGAGTAACTTTAAAAATATACTTAACCCCAGTGATCTAGTAATTGATTGTGCGCGTGTGTGTTTCAGGTATTCTCGTGTGTACACTGTAAGAGAATTTAGACATCAGTGGCAGCCCAGAGTCTAGAACCAGTACTACTTCCCAGGTAAAAATCCTAATGGAAAATTGAACGTTTCTGCTGCTTCTGTAGCTTAAGAAAGGAGAATGATTTCATTAAACTCACTAAAAGTCCATTTGGCACAAGCAAATCTACTCACTCATTGTATGAAATACTTACTACTTGGTTTTCTAACACATTCCTCTGATCCAAAAAAACCTGTTCCCTATTCAGTGCAAGAAGATTTATTTGAACATGTCTAAAGGTCTGACTTAAATTAATCATTGAGAGAACTCACCTGATACCCAACAATGTAGGATCGTCCATGTATTCAGCTGGGCAGTGGGTAGCTGAAAGAATGTGATGCTGACCTAAAGGGAAGACCTGCCACCTTTTGTGGTAGTGACCACATTTGCTCTGTAAAAACTTAAATCCAGATACTACAGAGGCCCTACTAACGGAAATGTTCCAGCAATAGGATCAGGAAATTATCTGGAAAATAGACCATTAGGAAATGATAGTTAAAAACTAAAATCTCTAATGCAGTTCTTATTTTACAAATACAGAAATATTATAATACATACACACTTGCTTTTTAAAAGCTTTTTTGTTTTTAATAGTGTATAAGAAGTAAGAACTGGTGAAAACAATTAGAAGTTTTCATTTAATTTTTTTTTTGTGTGTTACATCATCTCTTGTTGGATTTTCCTCCTATAACTGAACACTATAGATTTGTCAGTGTATTTGTTTACTTTTGACCCAAACCAAAAGAGGATACTATTATCATTACATCATGCTTTGCTTGTACTGAAGTGGAACACACACAGAAAAAATGATCCCTCCATGGTTTAATTAAGAGGAAAGTGAATTATGTAGCGTTTTACCATTCTCATTTCTTATTCATGTAGAACAGCAGGATAGCAGCATAATGTTGCAATAGCACAATATTTTCTGGTTGTTTCTGGGCTGTCTGCATTGCATCCATGTCAGCCATTAAATCTATGCATGACGACAAGGTTTGCATGAGCAAATGCATGGAGCTGAAAACAAGCCATTATTTCCATATCATTCACTATCTTTCACTAAATGCAGACAGTAGCATAATGCTGAATTGATGCGATAATGCTGTGTGTGGAAAAGGATGTACAGTAGTTGCAAATCAATATTTTTATAGTGTTGAGTGAATCACTTTATAGAAGGCGTTGAATCAACTGTGCTTAAGAAAGGTTAATGGAGGTGGAAAATAAGCAGGCAGAGAATATTTTCTTGATAGAAACTACATCATTGCTTTAATTTTATTTCACTGAGGTGTCAGGACTAATGGTAAGTTGTTTCCTTCAACTTATTTTTAAAAATTAATAGTAATGAATTTTAAAATACAATAATATCCATATTATATGATATTTTTACAGCTAGGTATAAAACCATAGACCAGTGGTCAGCAAACTGCGGCTCACAAGCCACATGCGGCTCTTTGGCCACTTGAGTGTGGCCACAAAGTTTCAATCGCACTGTACGTGAATGGCCACAAGTGGTATTTTGTGGAAGAACCACACTCAAGGGGCCGCAGTTTGCCGACCACTGCCATAGAATTTTCATTGTGCCTACATTGCTACAGTAGTTGAAATATTAATGTAAAATGTCAGGGGGGAAAGAAGTCCTCTGTGCCAGAGAAGAGGACCTCTAAAAATAATCCTATATAATAAATGGCTAATATGCAAATCGACCGAATGGCAGACCCACCAGTCACTATGACATGCACTGACCACCAGGGGGCAGACGCTCAATGCAAGAGCTGCCCCCTAGTGGTCAGTGGACTCCTACAGGGAGAGCGCCACTCAGTGAGACGCCAGGCTCAAGGCTGGTGAGTGCAGTGGTGGTGGTGGGATCCTCTTTCACCTCCGTGGCAGTGCTGAGGATGTCCGACTGACCGCTTAGGCCCTCTCCCTGCAGGTCTAAGCCATCAGTCGGACATCCCCTGAGGGCTCCTGGACTGCGAGAGGGCATAGGCTGTGCTGAGGGGTCCCCCTCCCCTGAGTACACAAATTTCTTTCACCGAGCCTCTAGTATGAAATATTGATGTGAAATAATAATATGTTTGAGTCTATTATTTCATTACAGCTTTTATTTTTTTTAGATATCCCCCCAAAAACACAAAAACACCAAATTTGCTAAGGCAAAATTATAGATATATTTACCAGCTTTATACATATAAGTGCTCCTCAGTGTATTGAACAAATATTTATGTAGCGTTTTACAATTCTCATTTATTAATTAATACTTATTAAGATTTGTGTGCAAGCACCAGCTTAGACTGTGTGTCATACAAAGAAGTGTAAGCCACAAACTCTGCCCTTCAGGTGCCCATAGTCACCATACATACATAACAATTATAGTACATGTGCCATACGTAGGTAGCATATGGACCAATCCTATTTTGAGTGCAAGAATAGGAGGAATTCCATATGAGGTAATTGGGAAAGATATGTCTGTAGAAGGGAAATGATTATCATTATGGATAATGTCTAGAAAGCTGGAAATAGCTGAACTTGGCTTTACCAAGAGAAAGGAATCATAAATGACATCTAAATGAAGAACACCCCTCCGTTTTGTGCTCTTTCCTTCACAGGAAAAATGCTATGAAAATATGAGGAGTTGCCTGACCTCCCCACTGCAAAGCACAGGATTAGCCTCCCTTCCCTCCTTCTACTACCAAATTACCATCTTGTCTTTCAGGCAACAGTCGCAGCTTTTGCTGCTAGTGAAGGCCACTCGCACCCTCGGGTAGTCGAACTGCCAAAGACTGATGAAGGCCTTGGTTTTAACGTGATGGGAGGAAAGGAGCAAAATTCTCCCATTTATATCTCTCGCATCATTCCTGGAGGGGTGGCCGAAAGACACGGAGGCCTCAAAAGAGGAGACCAGCTGCTATCAGTGAATGGAGTGGTATGTTCATAACATAACCAGAAGTTTTCTCCTTAAGCACATTGTCTTTCCCCCTACCCCCTGCCCCTGCTGTTACTGAAGTTAGTGTTGATACCCTGGAACAAATCATAATTTTGTGTCCAATCAGCTTTCTAAACTAGCAAAAACAGTAATTTCACAGTTTTTATGTCTCATTTCATTTTGCCCAGATGTGATCATCCCAACTGGTAGAATTTCTCCCATATTTACTTTAATTGAATTAATGGTTAGAAGAACATAATAATTTCCAGACACTCTTTATTCAATTTACTATAAACAAATACATTTGAAAAATAAAGATAAAACTCTTCACCCTATATATATTTTATTTTAATTAAAGAGGAAGGATAATTTTCATATGCATAATAATATATATGGAAAATGGCAATGCACAGGTAATTCTTTAAGCCAAGTGTGCAACAATAGTATAATAAAAATACGTTAGCTTCTGAATGTTTGTTTATATTATCTATTATTTCATATATTTATTTATTTATTTTCACATGAAGTGGGAATAAACTAAAGTAAGTAACATTTTAAAGTAAAAGCAGGAACATACATTTTTTCCATAACCTCATATCCTTTGGATGCCATCACTTCCACATGTAATAATGAGTTGCCAAAGAAATAGCTTACTCTAAAATGAATAATTTTATCCCCATAACTTCTACCTACATCAAAAACAAATAACCTAAAAGTACACATTTCAGAAGTATAAATAGGAACATGTCAATTGTTACCTTTCTATTAATCTAAGATCTTTTTCTTAAGAATTTAAGATTTTAATAAATAAAATAGATTTGTGTGCTTTTTTGTGGACAGATGATTTCTGCTTAGACTACCTAAAATAAAATTCATTTTAAAATGTAATATTTTATTGGTAACTGGAGAAATTGTTTCTGTACTTATCTTGTGTTTTATTTCTTTTTTATTTTTAGCCTGACTAGTAGTTTTATAGAACCCAAAACCATTCAACTCTGCTGGTCTCTGATGTGCTTCAAAATCATCAACCCATGAATATTTTATGTCATTTCAGCATTTGAATTCTAAAATTACCATTTCATTTACTTTGCTCTATGTAACAATGCTTTGGGATGAGCTTTTTATTGACCTGTAGATAACTGTGACTTTTTCAAAGCTTGTTTCAACTGATAATTTTAGAGTCAAACTCCAGTAGACTACTCCAGAGCTTGGTCATGTAACTATGTCACAAAGTAATTAATCTGTGCCTCAGTGTATGAATTTATAATTTCTCTGAATGTATTGGGTAGATAAAAAGAAAGTATAGATTTTAAAACATGAAAAGTACAAAAAGGGACCAAAAATAGATTAATAGTAACTGTAATTATATAGAGCAATAATAAATACATATGAAATCACTTTAATAGGTAGCTGACTTCTATCAGTCAAGGTGAGCTAAAAAGTTTTTATTTAACCCATACAATTGCAGTGAACACATCTGTAGGCTTTTAATAATTATTCATCCATTTCTGGCAAGGACCAGGTGGGAGGCTTTAAGTGGTGGTGGTGGGTGAGGGGATTGGAGGAATGAAATCAGACACATAAGACTCTACCACCCAAAATCTATATGATTAAATTAATGTCCCCTAAACTTGAATTTCCTAGTATGGATAAGGGGAGTAGTGACTTGAGGGGTGCTGATGAAGATTAAATTACGACAAAATGTCCGTTGAGAGGTGTCCAGTGATCATTTGGTCGCACACATCTTTGATAGATAAGGGTGGTTACTAACGCAGGTTGAAGCACTTTAGCAATCCTCCTATTATCATCCTAATGCTAATTATGTTAAAAGTAAGCCTTAAACCAACTTCTGCTAAACTTACAGGCATATTTTAGCAAACATTTATTAGCAAAAAAAGCCTAATAGATTCATGCAACCTCTTCCGTAAGTTTGGTGAAATCGTAGGAAGTTTAATGCCACTAATTTTGCCAATGAGAGCATGCACTTCTGCCATATTTTTGCTAATAAGCAAAACATAATTTGTTCATTGAAATAGGTAAAACAAATGCTTTTATAGTAGCCAACCTCTAAAGTGTTGCCTTTCTGATATAATGCTTTCTGACCACCTTGGATTGGTTAAAAAAGCTTCTAAATTTGGAGTTTAAGATATTGCACTTCCATATAATCAAACTATATATTATAAATGATCTTTTTAAAAATATTTAAAAGTAAGTTATATACATTTTAACAGTGTCTAATATTTATCAGATGTTCATCAAGAGGTACTTTTCCTTCTGTCAATGCAAAACTGCACGACTCAGTGGTCTTCCCATAGTCACACAAAGGAAGAGTGGTTAATCCAAGGCAAAGTTCCATTTAGCATGCTTGATAATGAGTCACTAATTTCACCAATGAGAATGCACTTCTGCCATATTTTTACTAATAACACCAATCTAGGAGTCTTTTAATATAAATAATTCCAATCAAACAGAAATATTTAATGAAAAAAATTTACTCTGTATTGAAAGGGCCAAAGAAAAAAAAGAGAGAAAATATTAGCAAATGGTCAAATTATTACTATTTACACTTAAAATAAAGAACCATTTGGGGAAATTAATATGGAAGATTTTTCAGAACATGCCATTCTAAACTGAGAGCACATTCTGGAACAGCATGATTTAGAGGGCTGACGCAAACGTTAACCGCTTCAGGACCCTAGGGGAAATTTCCTAACGCCCTACTTAGAAAGTTAAGAAATTATTCCATAGATCTTTAAACATCTGAAAAGATAAAGCATCTTAGAAGTCAAAAAGAAGGAAACTCATACCAGCTCAGCTTTCATTAGGAGAATTTTTTTTTTTTTACTATCCCTGAGCTCCAAACGAAATTTCCTATGAGATTTTTACTAATGAGACATTGAATCATCTAATGCATTTTTATAGAAAATGCAGAGGCCTTTTGTGTATGGCTGCTGCTAAAGTCAACTCTCAGTAAAAACTTAGAGCTGAATTCTCAATAAAAATTTAACATTAACAGGAAGTGAAAATGTGACAGATAGAATTTACAGCTACTTAATGATCTCCTGTTCACCCTTTTATGCCCAAGTATTTCATCAACAATTTTGAGAAAAGACTAAAGGATTTTTTTATAAAGGCAACAGCTGAGGTGGAGCCAGTAACTACATTTAGTGATAGAGTCCAGATATAAAAAATCTCAATAGCATGGCACAGTAGGCCTAATTGCTTAAGAATCTACATAAAGTCCTGCTCCTACACCCAGAAAACTAGCTACCTATGTGCAGAATTAAGGAGAAATGGCTAAACATCATAACCTGGAAAAAAGACAAAATGCCTGGGAGATTTTCATTGATTTTAAGAAAAATATGAGGCAAGATGGGAAAAACAAAAACATTTTAATGTGCTGTAGGGGCCATGACTACAAATATTGTGCACAGATATGAGATATTAGTCTAGCTCTTGAACATGCTGTTCAGCTCATAGCTCATTGTGCTACCCAATCCTGGTTCCATGCTTATGAAGAACAGTAAGCTAGTTCAGAAATGGGCAGTCCTGCATATGATGAACATGTTAAAAAAGGACTTGAGCTGTTTAGGACAGAGAAGAAAACATCAAGGGAGTGATGGCTGTCTTCAGGCTTACTCCACCGTGTGAGGCACCAGATGGCAGAGCCAAGACCAGTGGGTAAGTCACAAGGAAGGCAGATTTCAGCTTATTAGAACAGAGCTTTTAGACACTTAGAGCTCTATAAATATGGAAAGACTGAATCATGAAATAGTATGTGTCCTTCATTTAATGTTTTATTCAGAGATTAGAAGACCACTGGCAAGAATATTTCAAAATTTGTGCACTGTGTAGAGCTAGAACAGTTGGCCCAAAGTCCATTCTAACCCTGTGACTCTGATTCTGTGTCTTCAGATGAGATTTTGTCGATACTGCCATCTATTCCTACACATTCACACACATACACACATCTCCTTATACAGGTAAGCAGGCTCCACCTAGTCTCTATGCACACAACTGAGACATTTTTCCTGAACAGAAAATAGAAAGGGTATAAATATACTACAGTATAATACCTATTATATTTTTTATTTACTTAGTACTCTAACTGGAGAAAGCCTTAACGAATCAACCTGCATGTGATATCCTACTGGCACCGAGGGAAAAAGGGCAGTTGGGAAGCAGGAAGCAGAGGACCAAAAGATAAAATAAAATCACAAGAACTTTAAAAATATGTCATAGAGAAAGGAGGCCTTCATTAGCATCTGAAATCCAAGCACCATTGGTAGGAAAATTGCAGTTAAATTCACCCAGCTCTGTAGTTAATCCTAAATAAAGCCATCGATACAGTGTATGCACAGTGCTAATTGATTTTTAAGCATAACAGATGAGTGAGCAAAAATTTAGGGATGGAACAGAATAAATTGTTTTCCTGGAATCTGGCGTTTTTCCATTTTATAAATATCTATGCCAAGTTAAGAGTGAGTACTCACAGCTCAAATTATTTATGCAGGAAGACTGTCAGGTGTGGAATGAAGATGGAAAAAAAACTTAAAACTCTGGATTTGAGTGCTATGAAGCTACAACACATCAAGAGGAAATGTGTATGAAAAATCTTATTTCTCTTTTATCTAAACAAAGAGAAAAACACAAATCATGTTTTTTAAATTGCTCTGAAATACTGTAAGATTTCTGTGAAAATGTAAGCTCCATTTTAAAATGCCTGCAGTAATTTTTTTTGTTCATTGCCTTGTCTTTAGTCTTAGAACAGTCCCTGAATGTAGTGGAAGCACCATATGCATTTTTTAAAACTCAGGGCACTACTGTAAGCACTTTACATAATGAATTTATTATTCCCCCATAATGATCTTTTGTGGTAGGTGCTATTATTGGCTCTCTCATTTTACAGATGAGGAAACTAAGGAAGAGAGAGACCAAGTAACTTGTCAAGGTCACACAGCTTCTGAATAACAGCTGGAAATTCTAACCCAGGCAGTCTG